GTTGTCCACCTTAGTGGTTCTCCTCCCCATTCCCGAGATCTCGTTTGTAAAATTGAAGTAAGAGAAATAAAAAAAATCACATTTAAAAGGCAGTCAACATTAAAAAAAAAAAAAAAAATGTTGATAAGTTTCTTCTAATAGGAGTAAACAGAAACAATTTAAGTCAACTCGTCAACAAATTAATTCTGACACAGCTTCTCCTAAACAATATATGCTCCCCTGATATTGTTAACAATTTATTTTTTTAATATATACAATTATATATTTCTTTAAATGAAAGGAAAGATAGAATAAGGGAGATAATTATAAACATTACCATATTACTTAGCCGTTGAACATATATTTGAATTGTCGAACTTGCCATTAGCTTGAACGAAGTTTGACTATTCAATTATTGTCTTTGCTTGTTAAAATTGACGCAGTTGTGTGGGAGGAAAGGAAGTGACGTTATTTACCTGCACGGTGCAAATAGTCTTTAACGATTGGACTTATACAATTAAAATTTGACTGTCAGCGTTGGCAGGGTTTTCTTCATATTAACTCACGGGTCTCCAAACTACGGCACGCGGGCCAGATTCGGCCCGCGAGGCCAGTTCATCCGGCCCACCGACGATGCTTGAATTTGCTTGGTAAAACGTATGTTTACTCACAGAGAAGGAAAACTTGTTGGATTTTACCGCTGCTAACCTGATGTTGAGTTTCTGAAACTGAAGAACTTTGCCGCTGTTATGGCATCAGTGTTTGGCACAACTTATGTCTGTGATCAAACATTTTCAAAAATGAAGTATGTGAAGTGAGACCATTTGAAAACAATTCTCTTGATTGGATGCAGCAATTCCTAACCAAACATTGATGAAATCTTGTACGCAAAATGTCAGTTTTTTAAATGTCGCTAAATTTTGTGATGTTTAGTTTGTGATATTTGAATATATGCGCTCTAGGTCTGATGTATTTATCTGCTTGCAAACGTCACCTTCGTTGATAACTTTTTAAGTAAATAAATATGTTGGTTGTCTTAGTTTAGTGTACATTGCACGCCACTCAGCCATGATTAACATGGAAGACTAAACTTAGTTTTTCGTCTTTTTGCCTAGAGCTTTCGTTCTTGCTTGCAAGTATTGTACAGGATGATCATTCGGCCCGCGCTCGTAATTTTTCCGTTATCTGGCCTGCCGTGAAAATAGTTTAGTGACCCCTGTATTAACTTATGCTGCTGAATAAATGTTTGAATTCAAGATGAAGCATATGTTAATTTTAAATTAAATGTGTAAACGTTTATGTACCGAATGTTGACATCAGGGCTTATGTCGGGACTTATGTTATCATCGGACGTAATGCCAGGGCTTATGTTATCATCGGACGTAATGCCAGGGCTTATGTTATCATCGGA